AATATTTCTTCCAAACATAGTTCAAGTTTGAAGATGGGAATATCGATCCATTCCTTCTAGTACCTGGTCAAAATTTTAGTGAAAATTTAATTTTATAATATCATATGAACGGACTACCCAAATTTTGTACAATCTATTACCTCACCATAAAATGAACGTTGTTTTCATGCTAATTTTATCCATATTAATCTTCAGACTTTCCATATTTTGAATTATTTTGACATGTTTCCTACTTAATTATTATAATTTGACATTTTCAATTCAGATTGATAGAAAATCGCATTTATTAAATCCCCCAATAATCCTCAATATTTTATACTTGGTCGATTTTCAGATTTCAGGTAATTGTTTCATTACTATTTCTTCGTGGGTTTTCATTACATCGAAAGCTTAGCCCGAAATTCCTATATATATTACATCAAGCTTAAAATGTATCCTAAATCTAAATATATTTTTCTAAAAATTAAAAATATTTTTCAGAGGTATACATACTTAAAACATACGTATTCAAAATTCTACTTTCATCATAAAATGTCCCATAATAACCCTGGCAGATTTATGGACATATTAAAACTATTGGATGGATAGTGATATGTTCCTCGTATGAGCTCTCTTTTAATATAAAGGAAATAGTTTTTTTTTTTTTTGACCCAATTTCGATTTCCTTTGCCAATGATTTACGAAATAACTCTGTTTCGAAATCTTCTTTTTTTGCTAGTTCTTTAGTTTTATTTAACCTCATGTAATGTTTTGTTAGAGAAAAGTAACTGCCCTCCATATATGCACATGTCAGGGCATGAGCATTTTCTGACACGTGCTTGCAAATTTGTTAAGTGTCAGCAGTTGACAAAGAAGTATTAAATTGCCAGGAAAGCTGTGGTAAATTGATGTGTCACTCCTCTTTGTCGCCAGATGTACTTCGTGTTTTTTTCCTGTTTCGCCCTCTTCGATTTCCTTTATGGCCTCTAGTTTGTTTTCCTCGTAGTTTCTTTTTTCTGGCAATTTCAATTAGATTTTTTTTCAAAATTGCTTTGGAGTGTGTTCGGAGTTGTTACTGTTTTCTGTTGTCGCTTTTAGGGTATACCAAGATGAATTGGAAAGTACATAGAATGACAAGCAAGCAGTTTTGCATGCATGTAAAGAATTTGTATGTATTTGCCTCAGGGAAATCTTAAAAGTTTCAGGTTTTCGAAAAGGTTGTAAGAAGACTATGTGGTGTAGATAAAAACTAGAACTTAATAGTGAAAATGCACATAGTTTTTAGGGGAAATTAAAACAAAACATTTTTTTGTTTATAAATTTTTGACCTTTAAAGGGGACATACAAAATTATTTAGTTGTCATATTTGTGTCATACAAACAGCAGAATTATTTACACATTATTACCAAAATCACGATTACCAAAATTCGAATGTTCGACATATCTGATCCATTGTTTGAAAGATTATGTACACGGGTTTGTAGACCACAATTTCGTTTGGATCATATTATTTCCTCAATTCAAAAATGATATTTCTGATTTGTTTATTTAAAATTTAAATTTAAATTAAATTATTCTCTCTCCCACTTTCAGGTTGCACAGCAAATTCCTCAGCGCTGGATTGTCATCGTGAATGTGATTTTGAAAACACTTTACACAAATCAAGCAGAATTTCAGGTAATTAAATATATACCCACAAACTAAGATTATATTACCAACTTCTCCTTTGTACATTTCTTTGATATTTTAGCACGTTCCGGTAAAACACGTTATGAGGTGACAATACGTTTGGGTGCTAATCTCACAGCGTATTATCGTAACATTGACCATGAGCAGCAACATAAAAGTAAAGAACAGTTACCGTTGACTTTGGAGAGGCATGTAAGTAGATAATTGGAAAATTTTATTTTTAATATATCAAGGACACCATGAAATTCTTAAATACTACCATTATTAATTTGGAAAAGCAACTTTGATTTTGTAATTTTACTTTCAACGTGGGCATTCTCTTGCAGTATAATATCGTATCGTAGTTTTTAATTACTTAATGAAATATGATATTTACATCGTATTATCAGCTATTTTAATTACCACACAAAAATACTTTTATAGTTACTTCTATGAACCATGTCCATCCCTTCATCGTGTTTGTTTTTTTTTTTTTTTTTTAATTATTTACCTTTCAATAGAAGATGACCAAGCCAAAGTTATTTGCTTAATTAATATTGTAACAATTATGACCAGGCTAACGATTTATGGTCGCAGCCTAGTTATACATCATCTGTGCTGGGTAATATTTAATTAAAAACAAAATAACATCCACACATACACACGCAAATATTTCTGGAAAACTTGTTACTCTGGTTGCTCGATAGACACCATCAGAGTCCTTACAAATTTACTTTCATCGTAACTACCATCGCCCACTTCATTTCCATAACGGTCCTCTTTATTTCCTCTTTAAAATCATGTTTTCCTTTTTTTTTGTTTTTTTTTTTTTTCTTCAAGAATCCTTGAAGTAGAGTTGTTAAAAGAAACACCAACAACTCACCACCAATCAACCATCTCATTCCCCTCATCCCATTCACAACATAATGAGGCAGTGAATGGCATGGTAGTTGTTTTATTACCATCCGGGTTCTCAACAAGTCGCTGAACCTTAACGACGATATTTTTTTTTGTTTATTGTTCGTCTGTTAATTTTTGTCGATTTTGCATTCCTTATTCGTAGGAATTTTTTACAGGCTATCAGCGTATAAATCTTCTACTAAAGAATTATTTCATATTACGAATGTGTAATATTCGACCGAAAAATCAAAAGTGGGTTTTATCTGGTATACTATATGTCCTTATGTGTGTCATAGTTTCATCCAATCTTAGTTGCTGAAGCCGAAGGATAACGACAGCTTGACACAGCGGCAGCCCGATTACGGCACACGAAGGTTGGCGACAGCTTTGCACAGTGCCAGCACGCAAAAGTCCACGGGTCGAGTCGGAGGGCTGAGGAAACGTTGAAACTCCACTCAACTATAAAGCCCATACAGCAAACGTCTGTAGAGAGGAGGGAACGTTAAAACTCCACCCAACAGTCCACACACAACCTTAGAGCTGAGGGAACGCTAAAACCCAACTTAACTCTCTAGACCATTTTGTGTGGTCTAAATACAAACACTGTCAAGGGAACATTAAAACCCCATTTAGAACAACAGCCAGACACAGAAGACTGTCCGATTTTGTCGATTGCACCTACTTTTATACTGTTTCTGTGACTGGCGGAAAACTAGATGTCGGCAGTATTATCTTAAACACCGTACAAATACCATTGACGTTGGATTAGTCTCTCAAATGACTAGGGGGATCAGTTGACCGTTAATTTCAAAAAGGACTGATTTAACAAACGCTTATGATATTTTCCTTGTGATTCAAAACCGAGGATTCGACTTTTGGATCGTCACACAGACTCCTTCTCAATTTGTTCAAAGGTGACAATTACCGCTCTCAATGATCGATCCATTATGTCGATGTTATCGGTGTGGGCCAGTAGCATGTGTTGTTTGGTGTACAGAGTGTCATTTCTGTTCACCTTTGCGTCTCGTATGACCCTTTCCAGCAGGATGTTAAAAAGGTCAAACAACAAATCATGTCACCATGTCTGAATCCTCGTTCGGTATTGAAGGGCTACGAGAGGTCCCTTCCGAATTTAACTTGTGTCAGTTAAAGTTTTCCTTTATAGCCGTATTCATTTTGCAGGAATAACAAACACTGACATGGCTTTTAATACCTCTAAACGGATAGGGCTGTCGAATCCGGCTTTATAGTCGACGAATATGTGAAATGTGTGGATGTATTTTTCCAGGATTTGGCGCAGAGTGAAAATCTGACTAGGCCCGAAGCCACATTGGTATGGTCCAATAATGTCATTTACTATTGGCTTCAGGCGTTTACCCAGTAATCGGTATAGCACTTTATATGCGATAGTACATATCGTCTTCTCGCCTTTTTTGTGCACGGAACACAGGATATTGAGGTTCCATCATTGAGCATTGGGCTTCTACATGCTCCTGACCAGCATCTAACCAACGTTCTTTAAAGTTCGGGTGGTAATCGATCGGCACCTGTTCCTTTAATATTCTTCAGCTGATTAATTGATATCCTGACCTCATCTTGGCTAGGTGGTATACAATCTATACCGTCATCTCCTATTGATACCAGAAACATTGGAAAATGCTCCCTACAGATCCTCATCACGCTATATATATCTGTCACCAGGTTTCTTTCTTCAACTCTTCAGGAGGATGTGCCTGCACCAAAGCCTTTGGTCTGGTAATCCATCCATCCTTCAGGCTGGTAATTTTCTGTGTTTTTTTTTTGCATTTTAATGTCATGGCCAGGTCAGCGGGCATATGCTGTTTCTAGGCACACATCTTTGCCTTCCGTCGGATCATAGGCACAAATAAGACTAATGTAGAAGAACTTCGCTTTTATACTGATTATAGCAATTCGCTCATCTACTGGAATGAATCTGGAGACAAAGTCTTTTAATCCTCTATTAACCAAAAATCCGCAGCGTAATCGTCTGATTTACTTACGCCTGTCCCTTTCCATCGCATTTGCTGTAAGTAAATCATATCGGCTTTGTAAAACTTTACCTGCTCTGTATACGTTTGCGGGGTAAACGTCTGAGCGTTGGCAACAAACACGACGCTTCAACCAGATTTGTTATAGTTCTTATGGGTAAACTCGTGGTACATATTAACTCACTATTTTAACGGGAGATGAAAGTAGCTACCCCAGGTGACATCGCGCGTAGGTCAGTGTCCACAATTGAGATGAAAGAAGGACCGGGATAAGCCTGGGCTATGCCAATGTTAAAGACAATCCATACCGTTGCTTGGTATACAGTCTAAATTATACTTTTTATTTATATTTCATTTTCATCTATAATATTTATTAATTTACATACTCTACTTGCTTTTGTATATTCATATATGTGTATATTATAAACAATAGTATATATTATACTAAGCTATATAATTTTGTGTTAAATTAAGATTTTCCTCATTATCCGGATTCGTTGTCATATTCCTCAAAACATTGCGCACTGCACCCGGCGTACGTTCCAATGAACTCGACCATGAAGTACGCTGAGAACGTGGACGTCCCGCTGCCGCAGATTCATTATTATTTTTCGTTGATGTCATGCTGCCGGCCGTGCTTTCCATAATAGTGGGCATATGTTGTACATCACCATTGCCCCCGCCACCGCCACCGCTACCCGTCGATGTCTGATGATCTGCACCATAATTAGTTGAACCCTCAGTGATATTAAAACTATGTGCCGAACGTGATGTAGGACGCCAACGATTCAATTTCATAGATGCCTTACGATTTGTTGCCGGCGTCGATGCATATATGGATGAGGCACCCAGTTCGCTCTGCGACGTTACTTGTTCTTGTTGTTCCAACAAATTTGTTACGAGTTTATCAAGTGCCTTCAAATCGACTTTCCTTTTCGAGCCACGTATTGAGTTCATGCGACTGCCGGTATGACTGCCACCGGCAGTACCCGTCAAACCACTTAGGTCGCTGGCTGCAGGCTTATTAAGACCCGCCAATTTGGCTAAACGTTGTGTTAGCTGTAAAATATAGAAAGAGAAAGAATGCGAATAAGTGGAAGACAGAAATTAGGTTTAGCTAGAAAATAAGAAGAGAAATTAGGTTTCAGATAATTAATTGCTTTAATTGGTAAAATATTTTCAACTGAAATTAAGTTGGCTATTTGAATTATTGATTTTGTCTGCAGTTTAGGGAATGGTAGTAGTATTCGTCTGTTATATAATGGGTACATTCCAATATCAGACAAAAAAATTAAAAAACAATTAGAAATTATTTTAATTGTAAATAAAACGACATATTAACAGCATTGGATTTAAAAACTTTAAAAAACTCTAAGCTATAATATTTTCCGGAATTATTTTTGGTTTTATTATATTATGAAAGCATATTGATCATCCATTGGGACATTGTGACGTATAAGTGTTGTCATAAATTAGCCACACCATTATAAATTCCACAAACCGTTAAAAAGGAATAAATGGTAATGAGAATAAATGTCTGTTTTGCTATTACGCCGCTCTATTACAAAGACAAACGTATTGTAATGCCAGTGAGCGGAAAAATATAGTCGAACAGGGCTGACCATATGATACACAACTGCCACGGAAATATAATTTTGAGCGGTTCTATATTCTGAGCCTGGGCAATATTTCGCGATCAACATCTCCGCTTTTTAACACTGGCATATTTTTCAAATCACTTTGTTGATTTGTCCCTCGGAATATTGACCCGTCATCATCTAAATATTGATAATACACATTTTTGACAATGTTATATTGACCCTCCCTTGATACAAACCTAATAATATAGGTCCTTGGAGCGTATAAGTGTTGTCATCAGTAAGCCGCAACGTAGCACACTATTAAATATAAATTCAAATTATAACACCAAATATGCCGCTAATGATATATATGAAGATTTTCTCTCTTGCAAACATAAAGTTATTGTGAAAAATATATTATTCGTCCATGCTGAACCTTCAGCCCTTTGGCTGCTCAGCCACTCTCTTTGACTAAGATTTACTTGGACTAATACAGACTTCGAACCACAAATCCTGCATTCCGAATTGTTTGCATTTAACGGTTTAACAGAAGCATTATCATCTTTTTTCGACGACTTACGGCTTTCATTAGTAATATAAACCTTTTACTTTTTGTCAGGTTTTCATTTTTCCAGATATTCCTACTGCGTCTTTTTAAACACATTTATTTTCATCACAACCTAAGCTCGAGCTTCATTCTGGTATATGGAAGTTTGTGTATGTTGTCTCATGCTTATACCCTTTAGCTCCTGACTGGTATTTGTCTGCTGTACTCATTCGAAAAAACCTAAACCTTTCGAAAGTTGTTTCACTTAATCTTCTAAGGATTTGACTGCAATCATTTCTGTTCCATCTTTGCTACCCATACTTTTTCTGCGATTAAGCCAAACACTCTGAAACTTTGTTCATTTCCAACTACTTCACCTTCTTATCAGCTGCCACCAATTTGGACTTTAGTTCATAAACATGATTTTGTTTTCAGTCTCTACATCCAATCCAATGATTGCAGCCTTCCTCCAAGCCAAGCTTTTGTATGTTCGTCTGTTTTGGGGTCCGCCATGTCGAGCCTGACTTTCTCTAGCTGCTGTGCAAATTTATTATTGTTGGCAAACTCATCCCGTTTCATCTCATTTGTACGGCAAGAGTCTTTCGAAGAAGCTGGAATGTTCGATTGTTTCTTTTCTTCAATTTCCAAAAGTTTAACTCTATGGTCCCCTACAATAATGTCTGTAACATTGTCATCATCATATTCGATCTCCGGTATACGACCGTCCTCCTCCGATGAAGTCAAGTTTTTCGAAAGTTGCTTTTTTCCAAGAATTTTACTGTATACGCTTTCTCGACAGCTTCCACCAACTCGGACTTATGTAACTTAATTTGTCTCTCTGGCTCCTCTGCACTTAGCTTTGGAACCCGTTGAATTAGACTGCAACCTTTTTTCAAGATAATATTTGGCATGTAAAGTTGTTTTCAGGGACATTCTAGCTCCAAATTTTTGGTGGTAACTCCGCTACGTCACGCCTTCTTCAACTACTGGCAAATTTGTTTGATAATTTTATCTCTACAGGTAAAACATCGTTTAAACCATTTTTTTTTTCAAATCTTCAAACCACATCCCGTCATAAATCTGAATATCTTTCTCCTAACCTTTTATAAGATTTAGGATTTGTAGGAATCTATTGTCCCCTCTTTAAATAAATTTTCTAGTTTTTACATGTAATGCCACAACTATATATTTTCTAAGAAAATACATATGCGCTAAAATTTAACTGCTCGGTTACAGGATTTGTTTTCAGATTTTGTCATATGGTTTTGTCCAATTTTTGATTATCTTGACAATTACTTTGGTGTTCCTGCATTTGAGACCGCCAATTTTGATGTAGGGCGAGTCAAAGTCGAAAAACTACACGTCTCCACTGCAGGTTGATTGGTTTCGAAAACGAATTAATCGTAACGTATAAGTGTTGACATCATTCATACGTATATAGGCTAATTTTGAGCAATGGTTTAAAATCGAAAAATGGCGAAGCGAAAGATTGGCAACTTTATTTTAAGTTGCTGTAAAATTATTTACATCGTAAATTAATTAAGCGTATCGTATACGTGGTGACATCAATCATACATCTATACAACGAATATGGAAGTTCGTAACGTATACATGCGGACAGCATCCATACGGTCACATGTACAACGGCTGTAGAATATTTAGCAATGAATTAAAATCGAATAATATCGAATCGAAAGATGACAATTTTATGTTATGTAGTAAAAAATATTGACATTGTAAAATATTTAAATGAAGGGTATACATCGTGGCATAATTCGTACGCACACCTGTACAATGGCTATAGCATTACGTATACGTTTTGACACCGCACACAAAAAGTTATAAGTCTTTAGTATAAAAAGTATGAAATGACAAAGAAGTTCCTCAATTCGCCCCTCATTTTCTCCTTATATTTCTAATTTGAAACTTTTTTAACCGTATAAAATCAGCTTGTCCCCTTTCAAACACCTGCTACTACTCTAAATTGTTTTTAAACATTCTTTAACTTTGACATTGTCCGAGATGAGAGAAAAAGGTGATAAATTGAAAACCCATTGACCCTTAACTAAAAAGTTATACTATAGTTGATTCATCCCTTCAGGCGAAAGAAAAAAAACTATGCAACAATCTTTAGTGGTCAGTTTTTGTCCGTTTGTTCATCTTCCTCCATATATATATTTTTTTGTGGAATCCCCTGACAAAGATAGAGTACTCACAATGACCTTTGTACTGAGACTTTTGCCAGATATTTTCATTTGAGCTGTCTAACTTCCGTTTAGCATTAATTTTCCCGTTGCACATTATTGTAGAGACAGTCGGCAAGGATTCTTTCTCTTTTTTGTTAGTGTGGTGTAGTTTACTAAGTGAATGACCGGGCTGGCCACCTTATACATGTGCGGTTGGAGTTTTTCCTGTGACCATTTCACCACAAATAAATCTTTGATAACATGATGCTGGGGCAGAGAAATAAAAAACAGAACCTAGGGTATTTCAGGCCATTATAAGCAAACAAAAAATTGTATCCACGGGGACTTTTTTACAAGAATATTCTCGAAAAAAAACTGAACAGAAGAACAACACAAAATTCAAAGGGAGTAACTTTGAATTTTTTGGGGAATACATCCATGGCAAGAACGGGAGAGACAATGTCAACTAGAAACGAAATGCATCTCCAGAGCTTTGTCTGAACTGCATTGCATTGCTTTTGTCTAATGGTTTTTTGGTCTCTGCTTCTCACTTTGGTGATTTATAATTTCCTATTGTTTATGGTATCTTCATTCATTTTTTTTTTTGTCTGTTCAACTTTGCCATGCCATTTGAAGGGGTCGGACATCATCTACACACATACTATCAAATATCCCCTTCATGCCTTAGCTTATATCAGATGGATTTTTTATGGACATTGAATGGGGTGCTAATAAATGGCTTTGTAATGACCAGCAGACCGTTTGATGCCATGGTTTGTGAATTGCCAGTCGTCTATGTCGCCTTTTGTTGGCCGCCAAAGGAATTGCACAATTAATACCTTTCATGTTAGTTTCCGACCACCAACGAAAAATGCTTGCGTTTTTTGTCAGCTCGTTTTTTGCCCCCAGCGCTCGCTGTTTTAATTGTTTGCAATTAACAATAGTCCACCGAGCAAACGGACAGAAAGAATTACTCGTGGCTTTAGATTTAAAAGAAATCATTTGTCATGTTGTCGAAATAAATATGCTTTTGGTTAAGTAACTACTAATGATGATGTCTACAACAATGGAATTGCTTTAGCTAAGGGAAGGGGAGTTGAAATTTGGGGAATGGTAGTTATTGTAAACGAAACTTATGAAGGTTATTTGCAAAGTTTATTGTGAAATGACAAGGTGAGTTAATAAATGTCAGAGGGAAAACAAATATTATGGTGGTCGCCAATAAGTCAGTGATTGGTTGTGTCTGGGCAGTGAGAGAAAAGTGAATGGAATTTATTTATTTTGAAGATGTATATATTGATTATTTATTTGGATAATTGGATAATTTATTTGGATAGTTGTAAATATAAATTAAATTTGGGCCAAAACTTTTGACAATATATACATGGTGACATTGTTCAGACATACCAGTAAAATGGCTATTGTAGTTGGAGCAAAATATAAAAATCTAATAAAGGTGAAGCGAAAGATTGGCAATTTCACTTTAAGTTGTGGCAGAATTATTGATATTATTCGTAACGTATACGTGCTGGCATCATTCATACGGGCAACTGAACAAAGTAAATGAAATTAGGTTACATCGACACGATGACATCGGTAATACGCACACCCGTACAACGGCTGTGGAATTTGGAGGTTTTGATCAGTGTTTTCAATTTAATTTTAAATGTACTACGATTGTAATTATTGACATTGTAAAATTATTAATCGTAACGTATACGTAATGACATCATTTATACGCACACCCGCGCAATTGGTGTGGACTTTCGTAACGTATACATGATGATATTATTCATACGCACACGTGTACAACGTCTATAGATTTTTTTTCAAAGCATTAAAATTCGAATCGAAATTGAGAATTTATTTTTGAATCGAATTAAAATTATTGGCATAGTAAAAAATTCATAATCATATCCATCAAAAAGTGAGGTCGGATTTGGGAATCAGTAATAGTTTGGTAGAAAAGCCCAATATAAAACAAATAAAAGGCGTTTTTCAAAGCTTATATTTGTAATTTTTCAAAGAGAACGAAAGGCCTATCGAAAAAATAATAATTTAATTAGGGCTATGACTTTATCTGGCCTTATATTTCGGAATCATGTGTTTTTATCTAAGATTAAATAAAATCCTAAATATACATTTTTTGACAATCTTTTGGAATCACATCGAAAAATAAATATTTAAACACATGTTTTAAATGAGTCGTTTCTTCTGACAAATCTTGATTTTCTAGTTTACAAAACATATTACGAGAGTTTCTATCATGTTTAATGGCACAAAGCCGCACACAAAATGTAACAATATTTTTGAAAAAAATCAAAGCCAAACTTCTAAATAGCTCAATACAAGAAAAAATTGGCTTAATCCACTTTCAAATAAAGGAGTATCTCAATGGAAGAGCGACGGAAATGTTGCATATCTTTGATCACACATTTACAGCACTGATTGCTTCATGCATTGTTGACTGGAGATTTTTTCCAGTGAGTATTGAAGGATTTGAGAGTTCGAAATCTAGAACGCGGAACAACGGATTACTGAACAAATAATCAGAGTAAGAAATAAACGAACACATCTTATAGAACCTGTCCCGGGTTTCAGACATCAAAATAAACGAAAGAAGGCTTATAATGGCACGAAAGTTCCAGTGTGCATTACATACGTTTGGAATCTGTTTGAAAACTTTTCAAGGATCCCAAAAATGTAACTATGGTTGACTAAAAAAGTGTAATAAGGTCCGAAGAATCCAACCGTTTTCAATCCAAGGATAAACATGATTGGTGAAGAAAACTAATTCTAAGGCGAAACGTAAAGAACGGTTGAGGAATCCATCGTATGGGTTCGCTTAAAAATACTATATAACAATGGAGAGCATAGTAGAGTCATATCAACCGTTTTTGGTAGATAGGAACACCTGTCCTGTGAAAGAAGTATTTTTGAGCGGGACGGTGATACAAAACACATACCCAACATAGTGAGAGAATATCTTGGTGAGTCCCGACCTCAATTCGAAGGATAATTTGGAGACCAATCAGCCTCCAACAATTTAGATGAGCTTTGGCAGCAGGCCTGCGATGAATGGAAGAATAATAAAAATGAGATTGTATTGAAATTGGAGTTAATGTTTTAATATTAAGTTGTTTTCCGGCTAAAGCTTTAAAAATTTCGAAATGTGGTCGTTACCGTTATATGGGACCTAAACCAAACGAATGCCGATGTACATGGGTAGGACGATTTGATAACCTTAAATTTGATTTAACAACCTTAAAATCAAGTTGGAACCCAATCAGTTGAAAAACATGCCCACCCCAAATATCGAATAACACGATATAGAGGCAACCCGCAAACTTGACAATATTTTGAAAAGGTTCAGTAGGGAGATTTAATATTCAGAGATACATTTATGTTAGAATTTGTGACCAGAAGCTTCATAATACCGAATATTAAAGGTACCGTGATACAAATGCTACGCAAAAAAGCGGACCAATATCGGTCATTGTTAGGAGGAATATTTTCTACCCAATACACTCCTCCCTACTGTGGTTGGTATAATTCTTTTCTTACTTACCTCACCCGCTGCATTACTCGAATAACTCATGCGCTTTACTTTCTTGAAGGTGACATCATCTTCGGCTTCTTTTAGAGCTTGTTCCAAAACGCTGTCCATTTCGGGGCTGCGATGTTCATCTAAGCCTTGATAGCCGCTATTAAACAAATAAAAAATTGATAATTACAAAATTATATGGAATTATAATTGCAAAGAGTTCTCCATTTCAAAATTCGAATATATAACTATTTACAACATGTTGTTACTGTTGTTGTCGTCGTTGTTTTACATAATTATTAAACACCTGGGGCACCTGGGCAAATTTAAATGATAACCGTACAACAATCAAAACAATTAAAAACGTTTATTCAAATCGCTATAGGCCTTTTTGTCACTACATTGTTACATATCATAATTATGTATATAAATTTGCAAAGCTGGCAAAAAAGGGAGAGCAAAAAGAGGGGAGGCTGACCCTTATTAAATGAATGTCACTGTTTTCAAATACACACATGTACACTTCCCCCTATAATCAATTACACTTAGTTGGAATATATAAAAGTAAAAAAAAAAACAGCAACAACAAAAACAAAAACCAAATCAATAAAACTTCCAGCTAAAACAATAACAACAACAATAACTATGGTAAACATTCATGCAACAAATATAATCTTATTATATGATATCTGTGTGTGTATGAGTTTGTGGTTGCGAATGCGAGTCATATAAATGTGAACGCAATATATATTGTATGTATGTATATTAATATTGTGTAGCAGTAAGTAATTGATATTTGTAACAATGTTGGAGGGTGTGGAGGGCCTTCTGGTTTTGTGGAATCCTTTCAACTGTTATAGCGGCACGTTTCTCAAACGAACTATAACGCACCCACACATACACACTGACATATGATAGCTAATAAACATATATAGAGGAAATGAAGGTGCAGATGGATGTGCCTGAACATAATTGGAGCATCTCTGATGCATAATCGAAAACCCCTCTTATTTTTTGATTAAATATAAAATTGAAAACATGTTCTCTTGCAAATGTGACAGGTGGTTCAAAATTGAATTTATTCCACACATTTCGATCCGAAGGGAATAATTGTTGGTGTTATTGAACTACTACTAGGTGACATAGTTTAGGAAATTTCACGCATAAAATATGCACTCGAAATAGGAGCGTAATTAGCAAATTTGAAATTTATCGAAATGTGATATGTTTTCAAGATTAGCAACTTAATGTTTTACCCATTAAATTTATGGTTATTAAAATCGAAAAGGTTACAGAAATATATCCCTGATAATAAGAGGGCATTTAAGACTTATTTACTCAAAACCGTGATTTTTTATCATGCGATCCTTCCTAAATTTTTATCAATTTTCAATATCGTAGACTTCGATTTTCTTCGAAAGCTCCTACCAATTTTTAGTTTCCCATTGAAATTACCACCATTTCAATTACTTACCTCAGTAATTTATCACGGAAGGTACCCGTACCACCAGCACCTGGTCCACCGCCACCCCGACGTTGACGCATCGTCGAACGATTGGTTTTGCGTACCGTACGTAAATCAGTTTCCCAGAATCTGTAAAGCAAAGAGAAAAGAAAAATTATTGTAGTCTACCTCGCACAGTTGAATGTAAATTAAAATATAAAGAAATATTTTTTTTTGTTTCTATAAAACCGTAACCAGAGGCAAATTGTAATATAAACAAAGAAGACGAAGAATATGAAAAACAATTAAAACATAAATCAAAGAAAACTTTTACCTTGAAAGTTTTCAGACAATGTTTTTTATTTCAATATTTATTTATAATTATTTATTATAGTGAAATAACAAAATTAATTGCCTGGTAGTAGGGAAAATTCGTGGAATTGCTTAATTAAAATGTTATGATATGTAACTGATATCTGAAAATATAGAGAGATGTATTATAGATATGACACTATACGAGGTCCGATCAAAAACTGAACGTTTATTTATTCATCAATAACTTACGTGTTAAATTAAAAGAAAACAGTAAGGAAAGAATTAAAGTCGGACTGGGCCGACTATATAATACCCTTCACCACTTTGGGTATATTCCACATATGTATCCTAACAGAATCCGCCTTTTCGAAAGAACATTGACATCAAATTGAGAGCAATATCTAAATCTGGAACTATTTTCACGAAGCTTGTCCCACATCATTCTACGCTGTTTCAAATTTCGTGCAAACCGAAAGATATATATGGACTTCGGTGCACCATTTACATAAAATCGGACGAAAATATATACGGGAGCTATATCTAAATCTGAACCGATTTTCACGAAACTTTGCACACATCATTCTATACTCAATTTAGTACGCTATGCCAAATTTCGTGCAAATCGAATGATATATAGGGACATTGGTGCACCATTTACACAAAATCGGACGAAAATATATATGGGAGCTATATCTTAATCTGAACCGATTTTCATGAAACTTTGCACACATAATTTTAGGCTCAAATCAGTACGCTAATCCACATTTCGATCAAAATGAAGGAGATACCGTTTACATAAAATCGGACGAAAATATATACGGGAGCTATATCTAAATCTAGACCGATTTTTTCGGAACTTAGCATACATCATTCTAGACTTAATTCAGTACGCTGTGCCAAATTTCGTGTAAATCGAATGATATATAAAGACATTGGTGCACCATTTACTGAAAATCGCTGTGCCAAATTTCGTGCAAATCGAAAGTTATATTGGGACTTTGGTACACCATTTACATTAAATCTGACGTAAATAAATATGGGAGATATATCTAAACCTGAATCGATATTTCCTAATTTCGGTAGGGTTCGTCCTAGGGCCAAAAAAAAAGAGGTGTAACAAATTTCATCCAAATCGTGTTATAAATGCAACCTGTACTTTGTTTACAATTTAACATCAACAGAAAGTGATTTTATTCTCAAATGGAACCATGTGTCTATCTCGTTCACTTTTGCCTGTTACAGACATATGAACAAAGACATGATACCACTGTGTAGTGAAGGGTATAAAAATATAGGCCAATGTATTGATATAATTCCATAAACAGCCGTCCCACTTTTGGAAATATAATGTTTTTTTTTTTGAATTTCGGGTTATTTGAGGGTGAAAACCATATTTTGACATAGCTCCAAATAAAGATCCCGCCTCAGTTTTTTACGTTCATCCATATTGCCATCGGAATTGGCTGTTATTTGGTATTCTGGAGTTTTAATGTATAGCCATCATTCATACTAAAATTTTATAATATTGACTCAAATTTCGGAGTAGCCCTCATATAACGTTACACCCGATATTCCGTATTTTGGAGCTGTTGGGGCACAATTTCAGAGCATATACGATAAAGATCCACTCTTATTTCGGTATTTTGAAGGTATATGAAAATTATATCTGCTGTAAATTTAGTTTTGATGTGACATACACATGAAAAGGGTCCGTCACATATTTGATTTTGTTCACTTTTTGCACTGAAGTAGAATAGTAAAGACAAAATCCGAGTCATGATCTGGAAGGTGAAAAATTCTTATTGGGGATAAAAGATCTTGGCGAGTTTATGCAAATCCCAGAAGGAAAAAATTATTGAACCGATACCATTCACCACAATATGTAATTTTTCATCTTCGGATTTTAGGTTGGGTCGTCAAATATTTATTCTTTATAATGAATAACAGTCGGATTCGTCCGAAAACCCCTCCTGGTAATTCACCAACCCCCTAAAATACTGGTTACTCTATTCCCACATAAAAGGGGTACAGATATTCAAATTTCACTAATATAAATTTTGTTTTTAAAATTGTACAGGAACAAACCCTAAATATTTCTTTTTTTTTCAAAAATTTACACAAGAATTTTTGTGTATTCATAATACCAAAAATATTTGACAAAAAACTAAAAACCAAACCCTAAATTCAGCATTTTCATATATTAAGTATAAAACTCTTTAAAAACAAACAACCCTTTCTCTATTGTAATCTGTCATTGACATTTATCGTCATTTTGAATACTTTTCGCCTTTACATACACAATAAACTTCTGTAACACTTAAGCCGAAACTAAAAATACCAAAAAATCAAGAACTATCTAAGAAGAAAAGGAAAAAATCCAATAATCATTAGTAAAACTTCCTACATTGATTTCTTAAGCAAAAAGGACATTGAAAACAAAATAAAGGATAAACAAAACGAAGAAAAACAAAAAACTTCTTGTTAACAACCTTTTCCCCTCCCGCTCCCGGAAAAACGAACCCAAAGGCATAACCCAAAGAAAAACACATTGACATCGTTAATTCAAGGCCTTCTTGTTACTTCCTTCAGATCATCATTGATGGCGACGTTTAAGAAAAGGACTCATCCTTAAGATTTTTAAACACTTCTAAGATGAGAAAAATATCTTAAATAACAAACAAACACACACACACATGCACTCACTGGCAAAACACTTTAAAACATCTGCTGCTGCTACAGTTCCTGCTGGTGCCATTGCAAAAACCTATAAAGACTTCTGCGGCTGATTGTATCTTCCACTGGTAATGATGATATAGTATCTGTGTGTTTAGAAAAAATACAACACTACACACTCGAGGCTTTAGATTGATGTGTCTTTGTCTTTGGGCAGTGGTGCGTTGTTACCATGGCACAAACGATACAAGACGAATTGTAGGTCGTTGAATAATGATGGTGGTTAAAAGGAAATGGACAAGGGTATAACGGCAAATAAAGAGACGATGGCCCAAAGGGGCAAAACCAAACAACAAAATCAATTTCCCACATATGTCATTGTGTTTGTTTAAGCACATACATATACAAGTAGACATGAATGTATGGCCTTTTAAGTTAATAGAAATGTTGTTGATAATAATTGAGGAAAAAAAGGAAAACAGGAAATACTATATATGGGCAATATTGCCAATTTTTTAACATAGCTGAAGCGGAGGTTCACCCCTTTATAACTCGGGAAATACTTAAATATATGAACAAAAGTGAATAGTTTTGGGTTAATTGATCTGTCGTTGCAAACTGTCCACGATATTGACCTCCAAACTTTATTTTGGTGGAAGCTGTGTCTACTTTAATGTAAAAAAATGTGTAAAAACAGGTTGAGGCGAACCAGTTTTTTTATGTTCTCTATCGATTTGTGACTAAGCCACTCATTGCACGGTCTTCGTGTCAAAATAAAACTGGAAGCCAACAAAATGGGGACTACGCCACTTATGTATCATTTTTCAAAATTTTAACTGCATCTATCTTTAAATGATGCTGACATTTTGAAGCTCGATTTTGAGTGTTTTTTTAATTTTACTTCTAGCTTTAATACGCAAACAGGAATTTCTAAAAATCGATTACAAGATTATTGTAGTCGCGAATCTGCTTAATTTGATATGTATTTTGTGTATGTAGTATGCACAGCTTCAGAGTAATACTCATCCGAACGTGCGAATTTTGTGCGATCAAATTTCTAAAAAACCTATTTTTCGGGCCAAATTTTTAGATCTGTCAACTGAATGATATGGGTACCCGCGATCAATAAGGTTTTTTACGTATCGGATGATATAAAATCTTCTTCGTGAAAATCCATCTACTAGAACGGCGGGAACTGGTCTTCCAAAAACACGAAATTTGGCAAAAAATGTTTTTGAAAATATCGCGGATTTATTTGCGTTTTCTGTGTATAATTTCCGCTTTAATAAATGACCCCATACGGATTTTGATCTTTTTCGAAAAGAGAACTTGAAAAACTTCAGCCGAAAGAGAGATGTACGCAATTTATCTCAAAAATAGATTTTGCTGGCACATCCATGGTTCTTAATGGACCACATTGAAATGGTATAGATCGATGTATTTTTTTAGGGTGCACACTGAAATCGGATGCGCGTTAATGGCATATGGAGTTTTCGGAAATTATTCGCGTTTTACGATTTTTTGGGTACTTCAATGTAACGTGCGGCACATCTTAGCCGTCAAATGAAATTTCGCAAAATATACATGGATTGGAAGATAAACTTCAGTACTTCCTGGAAACCGCATGCGCATCAAATGATTTTGAGAATTACGCGATTTAGACGCAATTTATCTCAAAAATAGTGTGAGCTGGCACATCCATGGTTCTTAATGGACCACATTGAAATCGGTATAGATCGATGTATTTTTTTAGGGTGCACACCGAAATCGGATGCGCGTTAATGGCATATGGAGTTTTCGGGAATTATTCGCGTTTTACGATTTTTTGGGTACTTCAATGTAACGTGTGGCACATCTTAGCCGTCAATTGAAATTTCGCAAAATATATATGGATTGGAAGATAAACTTCAGTACTTCCTTGAAACCGCATGCGCATCAAATGATTTTGAAAATTACGCGATTTACACGCAATTTAAAATGTATATTTTATAATTTTATTTTAAGATGTATTCCTATTTATAGAATTCTAAGATTTATCGGAAGGGTCTTGATATAATCCGCAAGGCGTATACTTATACACAAAAAGTGATTTTTATAATATATCTCAATTTTTCGGCGAAATTCGGGTAAAAAAGCAGAATAACCCCAACATTTTTTCTGAA